CTACCAAGTGTCTATTACTGCATTTTAAAAACTCTGACTTCTCGTTCCTCCCTCGCTCAAAAGCCCCCTCAGAGTCATTGTGGTAACATCTGGACCCTTGCCCAGACCCTCACTTTGTGTGGGGCCTACCACATGGCCCCAGATCCTGTTCCACTACCCTAGCCAGCCTTTGGGACCCTCCCCTCCATTGCTGCACACACACTGCAAGAGCTCTGCCTCTTAGCCTCTGCTCCCTTACCCCCTTCCTGGTCTGGCCTCACCCCTGGGCACTGTGGGCCTTGGAGGAGGGCCCTGGGATCAGCTCTCACAGGTTAGAGGTGCCTTTCCTGTTATCTCCCAGGCTGCTTGACTGTTATTTGTGCTGTTGGGAGGTTCTAATCCATATGTTCCTCTTTTGCGGGGTACATCACCCACATACCCATGTGAGTGGTTCCTGACCTGTGTGTCCTACAACATTGTGGTGTCTGTCATGTGGGGTGGTGCATGGGCTCCCGGGCAGGGGCTGAGTGGTGTCTCCTGCAGATGTGGATGAGTGTGCCCAGGCCCTGCACGACTGCCGTCCCAGCCAGCAGTGCCACAATCTGCCTGGTTCCTACCAGTGCACCTGCCCTGATGGCTACCGCAAGATTGGGCCTGAATGTGTGGGTGAGTCCTGGGGCAGCCTCACTAGTTCCTGTCCTGTGCCCCTGGCCTGCCTCTCACCCTAGCACCTGATCCCCATTCTAACCCATCTTCAGGCGTTACCCCAGGCCCCTGCCACCTCTGTCATCAGACGCAGCACTGTATGGGTGTGTGCGAGTCCTGGCTGACCACGTGACTTCTGCCCTCTGCCCTCCTTCCCTACCTCCATCCTAGATATAGACGAGTGTCGCTACCGCTACTGCCAGCACCGCTGCGTGAACTTGCCCGGCTCTTTCCGTTGCCAGTGCGAGCCAGGCTTCCAGCTGGGGCCCAACAACCGCTCCTGTGTGGGTGAGGCTGGGCTGGGCCAGGCTTCTGGGTTCTGGGCAGGGTGGTGTGGTGTGGGGAGCTCCCTTCCTGACCAGCCCAGGTGAACAGCCTAAATGGGGGCTTTGGGCTGCTCCTTGGCTTTCACTCCTCTCGTTTTTTTCTGGCACCCCCAGATGTGAATGAATGTGACATGGGGGCTCCATGTGAGCAGCGTTGCTTCAACTCCTATGGGACCTTCCTGTGTCGCTGCAATCAGGGCTATGAGCTGCACCGGGATGGCTTCTCCTGCAGTGGTGAGAGCTCCACCCTGTCAGGTGTTCCTCTGTTGGTCCCCCTGCATCATGCTGTGTCTCCTGCCACACAGTTTTCCATTTGATGCCTTCATGTCCCATTCATTCTGCACCCATGTACCTACTCCACCCCAGCTGGTTGCAGGGCACCTGCAGACCTGCCCACCACAATTCCCAGCCCAGTGGGGAAGGCACAGAGGGGAGCAGTCAGGTCCCCACTGAGACTGAGCAAGGATGTGGGTGGCCCCCTCCCTTGGCAGTCAGGCTGACTTGCATTTGAATCCTGGATTATGACAAGTCACTCTTCTCTCTAAACTCATTTATTCATCTGTAGAATGGGTTGACTTGAGAACTAAGTGGGAAAATGACAACAGACAAGTTTTGTCAAGTCTCAAGCAGCAACACTTTCAAGTGAATACCATTTATCCAGAACCTTCCCTGTGCAGGGCACTTCCCTTACATATTTGGCCTTATTTAATCCTGCCAGTAATCCTATGAAGTAAGTATAATTTCTGCCTTTCTCTGCAAAATAAGGAAGTTAAACTGTCCTTCAAGGTTTGTTGAGAGGCTTACAAGAAACTAGTAAGCATAAAGTCTTTCAACAAAGAGAGGTTAAGTGACTTGCCCAAGGTCACACAACTAGGGTGAGATGGGGCCAGGTGTCCATCCTGACTTCTCATGCCATGTCAACTGGCCACCTGCCCTGTTTATGTTATGCTTGTTGCCTAGTAAGGCCCCATGGTACCTAGCTCAGGGCTAAGCAGCATGAGGGAAACCCAAGTAGAAAACCTGGCTCCTGCGTGTGCAGATCACAGTTGGCAGGAGGTGACTGTGTGCTTGGGCTGATTGTGGGTTGCGGTAATTGAGCAAGTTATTGAAAATCAGAGCAGACTGGGCCCTCAAGGCTCAGCTAGTCTAACTTACTAATTTTATTGACAGGGAAATTGAGGTTTCCCAAACTCAGTCAGTAGGATTTAAAACCAAGCCTCTGCTGTTTTCATTAGTTTTGTCTTTCTGTCCGTGAGCTGGGCAGTCTGGGCAGAACTTTCTTTGAATTCTCTGTACCCCTACTGTGCTTTGCGTGGCTGTTTCATCCCCATCTTCCCACGCTCAGCCTTACATGGGGCTGGGCTCTCTCTGTAAACGTTTATGGGACGGAGTGGAGCGGATTGCCCTTGACCCAGGGCCCTCATCCCTATCTCTGCAGATATTGATGAGTGCAGCTACTCCAGTTACCTCTGCCAGTACCGCTGTGTCAACGAGCCCGGCCGCTTCTCCTGCCACTGCCCACAGGGCTACCAGCTGCTCGCTACGCGCCTCTGCCAAGGTACAGGCTGCCCAGGTGGAGTGGGCAGGGTGGTTTCAGGGGTTAGTGGCCTGATGTCCAGGTTCCAGCCCCTCTCCCCTGGCACAGACATTGACGAGTGTGAGTCCGGCACACACCAGTGCTCTGAGGCCCAAACCTGTATCAACTTCTATGGGGGCTACCGCTGTGTGGACACCAACCGCTGCGTGGAGCCCTATGTCCAGGTGTCTGACAAGTGAGTCAACTCGACACCAACCCCCCCTCCACACACACACTACAACTCCCATTAGGCTCTGCAGCTGGCTGGTGTCTATTAGGGCTGGCAAGTACCCCGAGGCTTGATGGGAGTTGTAGTCCTTCATGACAAACATGCACACTGTTATAGGAGTGGGAGGATCCTTTTGGGATCCCTAATTTTGGGGGTGGGCCAAACTTGGGGAATGGGCTAGGACCTCATTCGTGTCCCCTTCTCGGGGCCCCTAGTCGCTGCCTCTGCCCAGCCTCCAACCCCCTGTGCCGGGAGCAGCCCTCGTCCATTGTGCACCGCTACATGAGTATCACCTCGGAGCGAAGTGTGCCCGCTGATGTGTTCCAGATCCAAGCAACCTCTGTTTACCCCGGTGCCTACAATGCCTTTCAGATCCGTGCCGGAAACTCGCAGGGGGACTTCTACATTAGGGTAAGGCTTGCCCCTAACCCTACCCCTCAAAGACATGCATAATCCAAAACTGAATTCCGGAAACCTTAAATGGGAGATTCAGTTATGCCACCATGCCCCGCCTATCCTCAAAACCCCACCCCAGGGAGGCAGAATTTCTGTAGAAAAGTCAGGGAGTTCTATATTCCCTTGGAACAAACTACAGATTGCTAAATATGCTTCTAATGAGACACTCAGACACTGGGGTTTGAGTCCCCCTACTGGTTTCGGTATCTGGCTCTAATTTCTCCACCCTTAGAATGTGACTGATATGAGAGGCATCCTGAGGTTACCCCCAGAGTCCACGAAGGGCAAGCAAGTGGAACTGGGCCTTAGAGTGACGCAGTGGCTTGGGGTCAGAGAATCAGCTCTGCTGGTGGAGCTGTTAGGAGGGAAAGGTCCAGGTGTGACTCAGTGAGAAGTTTGTTTGTTTTCTCTCTGAAATTGAAAGCTTTGAAGGGGAGTCAGCCTGCTCCAGGTCACCAAAGACCCCACCATTCCCCAAAGTCTCACACCTGGTCCAGAATCATCAGTTGACCCTGGTTAGACAAAAGAACTAGCTGGGAAGGGTGGGAAGAGCACCAATGGAAAAGTTGCGGGCAGGAGCCTTGGTGCAGGAGATGAGATGTTAAGAGTGTCACAGAATTGGATGACAGCCTGGGGCCACAGTCTGGCCAAGGCTCTTTCTTCACTTCATAGCCAACTGGTGAGGGCACAAAACATGGGGCAGGGAGATGATGCTGGTGGAGGGTTCGTGGCATGAAGGTTGATGCAATTTACATGTCCCCCCCACCCACTGTGCCCTGCAGCAAATCAACAATGTCAGCGCCATGCTGGTCCTCGCCCGGCCTGTGACGGGCCCACGAGAATATGTGCTGGACCTCGAGATGGTAACCATGAACTCCCTCATGAGCTACCGGGCCAGCTCTGTACTGAGACTCACCGTCTTCGTGGGGGCCTACACCTTCTGAGGAGTGGCGAGAGCTCTCGGAGGGGGAGGTCCCTGTAGCCAAGGAGCCTGGGGCTCAGGGAAGACCGTGTTCTGCTAAAAGGGAAGATACTATTGTGAAGGATAGAGAGAAAGGCAATAAAGGGAGAAAGAAGGAGTTCTGGTGGCTGAGGTGGGTGGGTGACACTGTAGTGAACCCTAGACTGGGGAAGGGGGCAGGCTCGTGGGAGGAGGGCCAAGTTCGCTTTAGCGTGTGTCAGCTCAGGCTGAGGGGACCCCATTGACGGAAGTTGGGAACTGTGTCCCCAAGGCGGGACTGGTCTATGTACCATGGGCATCAGAATCACCCTGAGAAGGGAGGAAGTAATGAGGCTGCAGATTCCAGGCCCCAGCAGAGTTTTGGGCCTGGCTGGTTTGCAGGGAGCCTGAGAAATCCTGCCCTAGACAGTGCCAGGAGGCTCTGGTTTCAGTCCTGCCTTTGCCTCAAACCACCAATTTGGACAAACCCTAGTAGCTCCCTGGGCCTCAGTTTTCCAATCCGTAAAATGAGGCAATTGAACTGTTAGTGCTTTTTAAACTTTCCGTTTCCAAGCTACAGACCCTTTTATCAAAGGAAACTGTATTTGATCAGGGATCCTCTTGATGATACAAACTATATTCAAAATTCCAGCACCTCACTGACTCCATATCCCTGCCAGTCTCAGTGCTCCATGAGAAAACTGGAAGGTCCCAAGGAGCTCAGTTTAAAAACCACTTGGATATTTTACAAGGCCTGGGGCCTGGCATCTCCTCCATAACACATAAAGCTGTAAGCACTTAGATTTTTATTGTAGCCCAAAAGATTCTGGTCAAAAAGCTGGCTAGCCTGGAAAGATGGGGGCTGGGGGTCCGTCCTGTGGTACAGCTCAGGTCAGGGGGCCAGAGCTGCAGTAGAGCTGAGACAAGGTTCTACTCAGAGCAGGCCCCAGATTCCTGCATGAAGAGAGAGGTTAATGAGGGTCAGGTCCTGGACCACAGCAACTTCGGTCCCAGCCATTCCCTTCAGATTCTGTCCCTTGCCTCACCTCTGTAGTCGTCCACACTTGACAGTGCTCAGCAGCATCTCCTGTTCCTTGGGGGTGGCACAGGCATCATAGGCGGCCAGTAGGCTGGGGATAGGGTGGGGTATTTGAATTTCTAAGGCTTGACAATGGCTGGCTGCTAGTCCATCTGGCCCATGCTGGGCCAAGGTCATGGAAGACAGGCCAGGAAAGGGTCAGCACTGGTTAGAGTCAGAACCACTACCGCACTTTCTGAACCTGGTATTCAAGGCCCTGCTCCATCCCAATTGCCCTCCCTTCCTGCTCTTGCAAATGTTCTCTAAGTTCTTGGCCCAGTCTTTATGGCCCAACCCCTCCTCCAGGATGCCTTCTCTGTAGCACCAGGTGGAGTGTTTCCCTCCCTCTGCGGGCTCCCCCAACACCTGAGATACTGTCTGGTCCTTGCTGGCACTGTCTTCCTCACCACCCAACCTCCATGAACTCCCCAAGGTTCAGCTTAGTCTGTCCATCTTGGAGTCTGTGCAGCCCTCACAGAGCCAGACCCTCCACAGAGCACTGGTTAAGCTGAAGTCCATGAAGGGAGGGCAGGGGCACTGGACCCCAAGGGGCTCTGTCAGGCCTACCTGGCGGGGGTGCTGTACCGATCCACCAGGGCTGCTGCCTTCTCCCCACTCACTCCCCGCACCTGCATCAGCTGCCGGGCGAAAACCTCCTTCACAGACTGCGCCTGGGGTCATGGGAGGATTGTATTAGGGGTCATCTGAGGCTGGACCACATTAAGGAGGATCTGGGCAGAGGCAGTACCTTGTTTTTGATGGCTCCTGCGTTGAAGTCATTGAAGGTGAGGAGTGAGCAGAGAGGATTTGGGGAGGATTCAGCCCCTGACTCAGTGTCGCCTGGGGTTCCCCAAGGGCGACTGCGCAGGGTATGGCCCTGAGGGGAAAGGGGACTGAGGCTAGGCCAGAGCTCTAGAGAAAACTCCCTAGCCAGTCCTTGCTGGATCCTAGACCCCAGTGGGCCAACCAGAGAAACAGGGATCTCACTCACTTTGCCTTCCTCGAGGGAGCACAGGGCCCGGGAAAGGGACCAGTACCAGACATGTGCACCTGCTCACCTGGTAGAGTCTCTCCAGGCCCCGTGTCAAGAGGGCCAGGTAGGCAGCTGACTCCTTAATGTCTGCTGTGCGCTTCACGAAGAAGCCATCAATGACCTGGGGAAGAGGAGCCAACAGAGGGAGGTGGCTCCTGGCCTGAGCCACAGACCATGGCGTCCCTACCAGCCTGGCCCTGATCTCCCAGCTCACCTGGGTGTTGGTGACAGCCTGCAGTAGTGTGCTCTCAGGAAGGCTGAGGTTGTGCACTGAGCCATGCTCCTCTACCAGGTATACTAGGCGCCCTAGGCCGCAGCGCTTCAGCCGGAACTAGGGAAGCAGAGAGGCGGAAG